CCCTTCGATCCCTCCTGTACAGGGTACAGCCATCTACACCCGTGGTCCAGTCATGGGTGGAGTCCCTCCAGGTCTCCGTTATCCCTATGACGTCGTAATGCTTTGTGTTGAGCAGGAGGACGAGTTCCTCCTGTTTATTCCCCAAGCTCCTTTGGTGAATCTCCGGATGCTGCTTCTTTTCTCCCGTTTATGAGCTGCAAGTGTCATCTCTTCCCTCTGACCGCCCATCCGTCCTGCGTGGTGAGCGGATAGGATCCGGGAGCTACTTGATGGGAAACTCGTGCTTTTGGTTGGTTTCCCTGTTCGTCCGTCTGACATGCGCACCATATCTTTGCTGTGCAGTTGTGGTAGCTCCCTGGAGCCCCGGGCATAGTACTATTTTTGTTTGAGTTTCTCACATTTTTTTAAATGTTTTCATGTCTCACTTTTCATGCTGATGAGCATCATCCACAAGATTTGGCAGCCTGGTTTTGAGTTTCCTGTTAAACAGCATTTCTGCTTGGCACGAGCCATGTTTCATGGGTGCTGCCCTGTAATTTGAGTGACAGGCAAACATCGAAACATCGGCGCGTGAATTTTCAACTATTTCCTCACTCTTTGCACTCCGTTTTCCACCAGACCATTGGATTGTGGGTATTTAGGACTTGAAGTGTTGTCAGGGCAGCTGTATTTGTGGGCAAACTCTTTAAAATGAAGACAGTTGAATTGAGGCCTGTTGTCCGTTCTCACAATTTGTGCAATCGCATGTCTAGCAAAAATGGATTTGCCGTGAGTTGTGACATGGGATGCTGTTGTGCTTTTGAGCATCTGCTTTCAGGATAGTGAGAAGAATAATCCAGTGCTAATGCATATTTTTCTCCTGCACGTATGAATAAATCAATGTCCACTTGATGCCACAGAGCCACAGACACGAACTCCTCTGATCTGTATTTTCAGCACATTGTACAAGCCTTTACAGCAGGGGCGGGCAATTATTTCGGGTGGAGGGCTGTTTTTGGTGAGCTTTCGGGGGCCACGTGAGTAGCCCCACGCCTTGACAGTTGCCCTGCCCATGGTCCCCATCTTGGGAACCAAAGTCCTGCCCCTAACCCTTGATCTTGGCCACCAAAAGTCCCTCCCCATTACCCGCCAGGAATAGTCCTTTGGGGAGCAGGGTGCCATCGAAGAACCAGAAAAAACCCAAAGCCTGCCGTGAGAGTCAAACACTTCCTGTAACATATGTTAATTTTATTACAAAACTATTTTTGTCATGATTTGTGTTTGTGTCGTGTATCTCGAGGGGATTGGATAATAACACAAAAATAAAGTCTTACTCTTGTATATTGTGTGGGATGTGCGTGTGTGTGTGGTAGGGTGTAGGGAGTGTATGTATGGTGGGGCATGTGGGGGTGTGTGTGTGTAGGGTGGGGTGTGGGGGTGTATGGAGAGGTGGGGTGTGTGTGTGTATGGAGGGGGTGGGGGTGTATAATGGGGTGTGTGGGGATGAGTGTGTGTACGGTCAGGTGTCAGGGCTGTATGGTTGTGTATGGGGATGTGTGTGTATAGTTGTGTATGGGGTGTGTGAATATGGAGGAGTGTGGGGGGGTGTATGTATGGGGGTGTTTATGGTGGGGTGTGGGGAGATGTATGGTTGTGTATGGGGGTGTGTGTATGGTGGGAAGTGTGAGTGTGACTATGGTTGTGTATGGGAGGTGCATGTGTATGGAGGGGATGGGTGTGTGTTTATGGTTGTGTATGGGGTGCGTGTGTGTGGTGGGGTGTGTATGGGTGTGTGTATGGAGGGGATGGGTGTGTGTATGGTTGTGTATGGAGGGGATGGGTGTGTGTAGTGGGGTGTAGGGGGTGTGTATGGTTGTGTATGGGAGGTGTGTATATGGAGGGATATGAGGGGATGGGTGTGTGTAGTGGGGTGTATATGGTGGGGTGTAGGGGGTGTATGGGAGGTGTGTATATGGAGGGATATGTGTGTATGGTTGTGTATGGGTGTGTGTGTGTATGGTGGGGTGTGTGGGGAAGTGTATGGTTGTGTATGGAGGTGATTGTGTGTGGGGGTGGGCACGCGGGCGCTGCTCCCTCCCCGGGAAGGGCCAGGGGGGCGCAGGGACTCGGTGCTGCAGCGCGGTGATAGCGCCGAGGCGGGTCCGGCCCGCGGCTGCTTGTGTCCCGCCCTGCGTGCCTATCAGTGCCCGACCCCTTGCACGCTCCCCGGCGTGCCAGGCCCGAGCCGTGGGAGGTCTCACGGCCTCACCACCGCTGAGCTCTCTCAGTTTGTGCATCCAGACTCTGCCTTCGCTGGGCGCACGACCCGCTGCTCTCCCGCTGTCCCGGTGCGCCCGAACCAAAGCTGCTCCAGCGCCTGTTTTAGCAGCATCTCATTCTCTTGACAATGTAATGGGTCTTTTCGGGTCACAGGCTTTTAGCACCAGAGCTTTCACTGTTTTTTCCTTCAAGGTTTCAAATTCAGCTTCATGCTCCCATGTCCACTGAGCACCTTTTGTAGGAGCTGTCTGCGTGTTTGGTCTGCTCTGCGAAGGGAGATTTTCCCCTACAGAACTGATCATTCCCAGTAATCTCTCCACTCCACTCCTTCCTTGTCCGTAGGGGGTGGCTTGAGCTCTTGCGGGATGGATCCGCACCCCTTTCTCAGAGCTTTTCTCCCATACGTATTATTTCTTGAGGATCCGTGTTTTTTTTTTCTTATTATGGCCAGTGGATGAACCCAAGCAGCTGATCGCTCTGCTTTTTCTGTCGTGTCCATGTTCACTAATCTATCCCTTCCTTTCCCAGTTTCTCCCTTTGCACAAGGGGAACATTTCTTGGGCCGTGTCCGGTGGCAGTATTTGGGTCTCTTAATTCTACCTTTACCCAGTTGACACTTTCCCTTTGCCTTGAAACACACCATAAAACTCTTCTTCTTCTTCTTCTTCTTCTCTGTTTTTGCTTTCTGGTCCCTCAATGACATCCATTCTCTCAAACAAACCTGGCGTTTTACACGTTCGCAGCCCAATAATTGGCGCTAGCTTTTTGGGACTGCTACAAACTGCACGTTTACTACATCGCCCTTGTGTCTCACATGCAGCGCACGAACACCCTCGTTGCAGTCACGTTCCCATTGTACGCTCTAAGTCTCACTTTCTTGTTCTCATAGTTCATGGGTTTAATTCTCAATTTTTGAATAATGTATTCTGGTGCCCCTGTATTTAATTTACACGTGACCATGAGCCCATTGGTGTCCAGGCTGATTGTCCAACCCTCAGAGGAATGAACTTGTTCTTGCACTGTGAATTCTTCCTCTTCCTCGCTGCACAGAGCGTGCACCTGCTGCGTCTTGTGTGCTGCATCCTGCTCCTTTCTGCAAACTCTTGCAAAATGATTGAATCTTGTCCACGTGTTGCAGCGCTTACCAAAAGCCGGGCATCGCATGGGTTTGTGGTAATCCGCACTGCATCAGCAGCTGACCATTGTTTCTTCAAGCAATTCTCCTTGCCTTCCGCTTGCCTGCTTCATAGCGCGGTCCTCCTTTCTGCATCGTTGGTGTGTTGCCGTAGGTTTTTGCAGTTTTGTAATCCCGTCTAGTTCAGCTTGTTCTGCTTTTTCCTCCAGCTTCTGCTGCCTGGCATTTCTTATCTCAGCTGCTTGGCACATTGGGGTAGGCTGCGAGCCCAGCGCGGGGAGGGAGCCAGGCGTCCCGGCTCCTGCTCTCAACCTGCCAGCCCTCACTCCCCTCCTAGAGCCGGGAGAGGACCAGGCGTCTGGGCCTCAGCCCCACACTCCTCCCAGAGCCGAGTAACAACCCCGACCCCTCCGTCCCCAGTGACAACCATCCGACCCTCCCTTTACACGATACAAAGGTGACCCAAAGCTTGGCCCCATTGGAGCCCACGCAGTAGCCTGCCCTCGGTTTTGGTGCTTTGGGTCAGTCCTTGGACGTCTTCAATCCACCCTCATCAGAAGTACTCCTGAGCAGTGGGTCCAGGGTCTCCGGACCCAGGCCTCGCTGCTTGGGCTGGCATGGGTGGTAGAGCCTCAGGAGAAGGGCGGCAAGGACCGGCGGGACCTCCCTACCCAGCACTTACTACTAAGCTGGTGCAGGTGGTGGAGCCCCTGGATGGCAGCCCGGCGGGACTCCCTTCCCCAGCGCCTGGCCTAGGGGGTGGCTCCCGGCGGGATTTGCTGCTATGACTGATCCAATTTGAACTACAGGCACAGGTGAACAGCTCAGGCTTTGCACAGGGTGTGCCCTCACTGCCCTTCCCCTTGTAGTAAACCTGTTTTAAATTCGCACCGGCTTGTAGGCGGGCAGGTTTGTTCACGTCACAACGCCCCGTTTCCATTGACGGCGCCGCGTTTGTTCTCACCGCCGTCCAGCGCCCGGCAGACCGGCCGCACGCAGGCCTTACAGGCTGGCTCTGAAAACCCGAGCTTCAGGTCAAGCAGGAACCTGCCCCGGCGTCTTCGGGGAATCCCTCGGTGATGGTGACGCATGTTTGGGGGTGACCCGAAACCAATGCTGCTGGATAATCCCATCCAGAGCCCAGCTCCTTATCTGGGACAAGGCTGAAGTTGGTTCCTTGTTCCCCATTGCTTATTCCCAGTGCCTGGTTTCTTTTTCATTTTAACTCTTTAGCACGTCGCATCAATTGCTAAAAGATGAGCTTTGGCAAA